TTAAAACCATCTTATGAGTGGTCGATTCGTTGCTCAGGTAAGTAAAGATTTCCTTGGCGTTAGATATTAAGATAAAGCCAAAAGAGGTGAGGAATAAGTGGCTTTTATCGTTATCACGTGGGTCGTGATCTTGATTATTATCCTCTTTAAGTGTAATTAATTGGAAAACTTCGTTTATATTATCGATATTATCGTTATTTTCCGTGCCTTTAAATTTAGTGACGTATTATTTGAATTTTTGCTCGAAGTTATAACTAAACTTGTTATTAAATTTAGTAGTATGCTTAGACTTGAACTAGTCTTTGGACTTTTGGCGCTTTTTGGCGGTGTGATTTGATAACTAATAGCTTTCCTTGTTATATATAAAGTAGCGCTTTTTTGTAGTATTATATGATTAGTTGCGGTTGCTAAACTTGGGTTAGTCGGAACGCTGGTTATTATACCGATATCTTTTCTCCGTTATATAAGTCGAATTATTAGCCTGATTATAAGAGTACTTATATGCCATGATGGACGATTTCATGGCGCTAATAACTCTAGTTAGAGTATCTAGTGGGTTCGAGCAAGCGAATTGGCACTCTGGTAGGTCTTTATAAGCTAGGATGAGCTTGTTCGCGAAGAAGTCTTCTCCTTGGAGTGTCTTGCTGAGACCGTGACGTAACTCTCGTAACTTTGTGATTAGCAGGTTGAAATAGTGCTCCGTGGTCTTGCTAGGGTTCTTTGTTTTAATGGTGCTCAAAGTAGTGTTATTCTATTCGAAGAGGTTTCGTCTCTTGTAGTTTGCGTCCTCGAAGTGGCCTTTTATTAGCTGGCAAATTTGTTTAAAAGACAGAGATTTCTGCTAGATTAAATCTGTGTAATAGTAGCTTATAGTTATTCCTTTTAGCATAGTAGGGAAAGCCTTGAGATATCCTTCTTATGGTAAATCATATCTGCTATATATATCGTAAAACATAAGCAGCTTTAGCTGAAAGTTATCGCTTTTACTATTATATTTTTGTTTTTTGGTGTAGGTCTTAACTATATTTCCCATGTTTTTACTAAATCTTAGGTTTTGCGGCAAGTTAGGTGGCTTTTGGTCGGATTAACGTAAGGGTAGAATGCGTGGCACTTATTGCGAGGGGTTATTCTTAATAGGTTGCTTATATTTATGCTATTACTGCTTAATTACTGGTAGCTGGTAAAGTTGAGGGTGCATATAAGGTTGGGGTCGAGATTGCTATTGTGATCTCTGGAAGAGTAGTGAGAGATTAGGCTAATAAAGTATTAAGGGCTCAGATTAATCTAGTAGCTATAGATAAATTATAGGGTAATTATTTGCAGCGGGTTATTTTCCTCGTTGGTTTTCCGTGAGAGGTTTTTTTGCGGTTATTTCTACGGGCAGTTATCGAGGCGTAGCTAATCTAAGTGTAGCTGGCCTAGATGAAGTAAATAGTCTTCTGGCAGGTATTCCTTTGTTTATTTCCAGACGGTAGTTAATTTAATGGGACTTAAACGTGTTTTTTACTAACTATTCGTTAATAGTAGCGTTTATCCATTTGGTTCGTTATTCCTCTTCGAGAGTGAGTTTAAGGGTCTTTGCCATACTTTGGCTTCTTGACTCGCTAACCCAGACGCCTCTTTGCTTAAAAGTAAAGCGCAAAGTCTTAAGGAATACCTTTTTAACTTTGCTAAACGTATCTTTGGTTTATAGCTCGAAGTCTTCTTAGAAGGTTTCCCATAAAATGCTATTATAAGCATTATTATCCTCGTATTCTTTAATACGGTCCTTAATATATTACTTTAAGATTTCTGCAGGTATAATATTAAAGTCTAAGTTGTTTATATCCTGGTAATACTTGTTCGAGCTAGCGTTATTATTATCGTTTATTTTGGCTTATCTTTTTCCTTCTTTCCTCCGCAAGTATACTCTTTCTCTCCCCTCTGTGTATATATATAGCCACTTTCTTGTGGGCTTTTATCGGAGTATAAAAGTAGGTAGGTAGGTAGGAAGGAAATTCGTAAAAAGTCGCAAAAGTAGTAACGCAATTCGGTAACTCGATAGTAATTACAAAAAGCGCAAAATAAACAGTGCAAATTCCACTGCTTATCGTAGTAGTAACTAACTCGGTCTTAAGGTCTAATTAGGGCTTTACAAGCGGGTTTAAATCTTAAGGCAGGGCGTTTCGTTCTCGTAGCTATCATGGGACCTTACAAGTAGACTAAAGTTTCGAGAAGGATATTCTTGCTCTTCGCAGTTTAGGCCAGAAAGTTAACTAGCTATAGTCTACTGCGGTAATAAAATTGGTTCTCCTCTATAGCTTAATCGGGGCTTTATAAGCGGGTTCAAGTTGCGCAAAAAAAGGTGCTCTATTCGAGACAAAGTCGGGGCTTTACAAGCGGGTCTTTGTTTGTAATAAAGGGTTTCTACTCTTCGAGGTGTATCGCGTATTAACGTATCTTTGCGTAATACTTTGAAATTAATCAAAGACCGTTTTAGGGATTATCTGATCTATTCCGCATGCGTCGAGATCAAACTGATTAATATCGCTATAATCGGAGATACGTATCACTTAAGCGTACGCGTTTATAATGGAGGGTAATCGTAAAGTAAAATCAAAAGTGCTATTCATTATTATCATCTTGTCGAGTCTAAGAGCTCGAGGCCTGCTCTCTTATGGAGAGCATGCTCACGCTAGGCATATAGCCTAAGACACGTGATATCTATTCCAACAAACACAAAGTCATAGCTGCAAACGTAATTGATAAAAGCCAGATACTCAAATTGCCGCTCAGATCAATCACGAACACACCAACTTCTTACCCGTAAGGACCACCACTACCTCCTCGTACTTCAACGCTACCGCCAATAGTAGATTTCCGAGGCGACAGGAAATTAAAGAGGTCAGGGCGTTCACGTTCCGTTTTGATTGCTCGAGAGAAGAGAGTGAGAAGATTGATCCCAACGGATAGACTGAAATGGGAGTCTGTGATGGAAGAGTGTGAACACTGGTCGTCTTTTTGGCACTTATATACCATAGAATGATGAGAAAATCCAAACCCAATCGTTGAATAGAGAGAGATGAGACTGGCGCGGCTTTTAATAACGTATCCTTCTCTTTACTAAGTATAATTTTGATTCGTGAGATAATCATGTCCCAAGTGGGAAGTGACTTAATCTAGATCACGAGACCAGGCAGAAAAACCGACAATATCTTTGTGAGAAGATCCTCAGACATGGTCGAAATGGAAACAAATTCCAAGAATAGTCCTGCCATAATGGAGGATTTCCTCCGTTGTGGTTCTGATGATGCGGGAGCTCTCGAGAGTCGTGCCCGATGCGAGTGGTCTGACATCCCTTCGGGCTTGGCTCTTTCAGCCTTACTTCTGGCGCACCCTTCTTCGCGGACTCCATCTTGAATCTATTCGAGAGATGAGAGCGAGGCTTAAAAATGTTTCAGATTTGCTTTTGAACTCGCTCAAGATGGACTTCTTGATGGTGGGTCCATCACCTGATCATTCCATGACAGGAGACTACCTGACCTCTTAAGAGACTGAGTGTTCTCTTTGGCGTTCACTTGACCTTTTTAATTGAATTGAATGGCATGGCAAGTATGATGTTCATCTGCCCTCATCAGAATATGCAGCCTTCATGTTTTCTTGGCAAGTGGTGGACTGACAAGCGTCTCATGAACGGGATCCTCTTCTCACGAATTGATCTTAAAGGCATGCCTTGACAGAGAAGGAGAGTAATTTTGAACTTCAAGCAGAAATATCAAAACAACAGTCAGATTAAACTCTGAAATTATGATACCCATGAAGGAATTTGCACTTGCATTAGTTCTCTCGTTGTTGAGTGCGCTTTCCACCAGTGAGCCAATTTCAAGATGGCCCAAAGTTGGAGTTGTTGAAGTACGTCCTTGACCTCTTTCTTTACGGGCCCTCGATAAATGACACTTTCTAGGACATCGACCTCCTCCGCCGAGCGGATACAAACTGGACAACCCAAGAATTCCAGACTCATTGCAACAACATCGACTACACCTACTTCAGTGACTGTTGTACCGCTGAAAGCGGGCCAGGTTGGCGCTCCTGCAATGACGTCGGAACATGGTCGTTAAGTGGATCAACAATACTTTGTTACAATCTTGACGCTGGTCACGATTGCGGTAGCGATAACACTGTATGCGACAGTGGGCTAGGATGCTGTGGAAACAGCTGCTGCCAGAACTCGGCCTCGGTGACGGTCTGTGAAGATGGATGTGTGTTGAAGAATGGACTTGGCTGTGTAGCTGGATCTTATGGAGGTGCTGGGACGTGTGCGCATGGGCTGTCCGTCTCGACAGCGAGCAGCTCCACTTCCTCTTCCACTTCGATCAAGACGACTTACAGCACAGCGAAAACTAGCACAACGTCCACAGCTGACGCTCCAGCTAACTCCTCACCTTCTAGTACAAGCGCCAATACTCCTGAGAAGTCGAAAGTGAGCACAGGCGGGATAATTGGTATCGCTGTGTATGTGGGATGCTCTGTCATCGGTCTCGTAATCACTGCGGTGGTGAAAATCCTCTCATATAAGAAGAAGCAGAAGAGGGAGAAGGAGAAAGCAGCCCTGGAGCAAGCCGAGATTCGGAAGTCGAGGACCGGTTCGTCTCCCTCTGCGCCGACTTCACCTGCACCGTGGTATCCATATTCAAATTAAAGGAGCTTTTCGCCACTCTGGGGGGAGTAGTAGCAGGGCGGGCAATGGGTTGGAATGGATTTTTCCTTGGGCGTTGGGGAGGTCATCCCGTCGTGGGCGCTCCTAATCAATTTAGTTTCAAGCTTTTTTTTGCGCATTCTGAGTGAACCTCTCGTACCTAGTATTAGACAAATCTCACTCAAAAAAGAATTTTGTTGTTGGGTGAAACCGACGAGGAAGGTGCTGTCGTGGTGGAGTGCCCTAAACGAAAGTGTGAGTCACATTTTCTCGAGCGCTGCAAACAATCTATATAAATTTAAATATGCACAATTTTGGCATCAGCATTTTAACTCAGAGGAAGAGTGCTGGGCTCATAACCCAGAAGTCCCTAGATCGAAACTAGGAAGTGCTACACACCTTTTCTTTTGCCAATTTTTCTCATCCAAAATTCTTTTCGCTACTAGCCCCGACAGGTCAGGTGCGATAGCCGCCTGTTGTATTTTGTTGCACTTTCTTTAATCAGCCGTTAGTACGTCCGTTTCATATCTTTAATCTAGTCTTGCATTTGCAATACTTCAAACAAATTTCTCAATTTCAAAGTCTGAACATGCTATTTTCTGTCTCTTTTTGCACTTTTGATACCGAAGCACGCTAAGGACATTCGGGAGACGCAAGCGAAAGCCGAAACTTTGGGAGGCGCTAAGAAAAGGGGTGAATTCTTGGCTTGAACGAAAGCTTCCTCTGATTAACCTTGCAGGAAGACAGACGAGTTTCAAATGGAGATGAATATTCAAGATCTTGCATTGGGGTACTTTGTCTATCGCAACATTGATGAAGAGTCCTATTCCTTCTAGATTGACGGTCACCTGCTTCAAAGTCAGCTGACTTAAGTAAACAGTGTTAATCCAGAGGTTCCAGCCTGGCTAGCTTTCGGGACGCCTTAGTTAGGTTGAATTGTTGCTTGCAGCAGTTGAGAGCCATAATTGGTCAAACCATGAATCTTGCTCAATGAAAGCGAGCCGAGAGGTCTTAGCAAGGCTGTAGACCACCAAATTAGAACTTGAGGGCTTTTACTCGCGGTTAAATGACTTAAGGGACTTCTGAGTCATGAAACTAGCACTCTTCCTCTGAGTTAAAATGTTGATGCCAAATTTGTACATACTTACATTCAATATGCTAGCTTTCTTCGAAACAAATTCCAAATGCTAGGGCTAGTGCACGTGGATGAATGGACCGAGAAAGAGATTCAACATTACTTTCACAAGCGCATTTATGACACTATCGGACAGATTCAGTGTTTATTGTTGGCCAGCACATTGCTAAGCGTCCTGCGCCATAGGTAGCAACCAGTGCTTTTATAGTACCCATGCCAGATCCTCCGTCTGCCCAAAGAGTCGAGGTGGTGAGAGATGTAGCGCCATCGAAACATGCATCAGTCAATTCTTTACACCAGCCTTTGGGATTGCATTGCAGTATTTGCCGAAACAAGGATTGCATATTCTGCATTACCCTCCGCCATCTCATCGCCAGGCGGAGAAGTTCAAGAGCTTGACGGCAATCGCATCGAACCAGTTGAAATGGACGCAGGCTACGTGGGAGCTGAAATGAACCGGCACTCAAACGTGAAGCGGAAATCAGTATCTCAAAGCCAACAAAACAATTCATACGGAGTATTGCGTGGGACGGAAAAGAAGTCAAATGTGCACTGGTAGTAAATTCGATGCATCCCTCACGCCTTCGAACAAATTACTCCCGCTACAGAAGACCTCCGTCCGATCTTTCGGTGGGTAATGATCCAGAGAGCCTAGGATTTCTTCGCTGCCAAAATCCGAATATGTGGTACAATGAATGGTCAGGCTGGCTTCAGGAGTCTTCTGGAAGGTGCATGAGATAAAGTCGACTTCGAACCGATCTCACAGTGCGAATGTTGCATCTTCGAAGCAGACTGACCCCACCGTCAGGTACCTCTATGGATGTACTCTTTTCTCACACTTCAAATGCTGCATTTCACGTCGAAGGATGGCAGAACTCTCACGATAGAAATTTTGGGTGGAAGGAGTCGATATATATAAAGTTGGCGACTCATCAGGCTGATTGCGGCTGTGTCGCTGGGTGAGACTGCACTGCCTCACCGAGATCCCCTGAAGCCGTTTAATCGACCCGTTCGATCACCAGATTGGCGGATTTTCTTCCAGATGATCCCCATAAGATGTGTTCATCTGAAGTTTCGGGCGCATCCAATTCAATTTTCTTCATTTTGATGTTGTTCTGCGCAAGTGTCGCTCGCTCTTCCCATCATCACAACAGCGGCACAACACTTCACTCTCCCAACCTCAATTCTATTTTTACCGTCTTTTCCTTCCCAAACACACCGCCGCCAATAATTCTCTTCGGCACAAGTCTACCAATTTCTCAAACCGCGCACCATGTCATGCGCTCACGAATCCATCCTGTGTTACTCTCCAAGTTTCAGGACCCCGCGGCCCGCGAAGATCGCCTCCAGCATCGCTCAGATCACACTGCATTGCATAACAGAATCTGAACCTTCATCCAGCCATGTTCCTGCCGTCCTTGCCATGCCATCCCATGATTCTGAATCCTAAAACGTTAGGCCCAAGATCTATCACCGTTTCGAAAATCATCTCATATCACCTTTATGCTATATATGGGGCCTGTCAATGTTTCGTGGCCCTCAACACTGCATGTATCAGTTCAAGCACTGGTTCCCTGGGGCCCGCCTCATATCCGTTGACCGGTGTCTGGACCAAAACGGTCTTATAGCCTTCCCCTTCTTTTGCTATTGAATTAAGGAATATTATGCCGATCATAAGACTTTGCGTTCCTGGTTTGCGTCTTCTTTAGTCAGGGACCCAACCACAACCTTCACTTCTTAATTCCCGATAGCACAACGCCACGTTTTGAAGATCTGGTTTGAATAATGCAGGAAGGCTTGAGTTCCGAACTAGAACTTCCATTCCGTATTCCGATCAGGAACGCATTACATCAATCGGCAGCACTCCGCGGCAATTGAGCCTGATAACTGTAGCAAAAACATGCGATACGTCAGATTCGTGCCTGCCATCCGAAGTTTTTCCCACCTGCAGTTTGGTGCTAAGTCGCATTTATGAATCGTGACGTTCAGGCCTTAAGTAGTGGCTGGACCAATTTCGTCCCTTCAGCCGCCTCGAACAAGGGTCATCCTTCCCCCTTTTCGTGGACACAACGTCAAGCGAAAACTACAAGTCGTGACTTGGCTTCCTAGCCGAGAGACAAGCACACGGAAAAAGCAATTCAAGGATGACCCCACCATCGCAACGTCACCTGGCCATGCGATCTATGCCTTTAGAACCCTTCTAGTCTTAATTGTCCTACTTTATGGATATTGATATCTAGAATGATATGATGGGACCCTGGTCGAGACTTCTCAATTGGTGGAGATTCATTTTCGTAGGTCTCAGGTACACCCGTGTACAACTCAATGAAGGTTGAAATTATGGTGAAGTGGCTCGTAAGGCTGCATTGTGCCTGAATCGTCGTCGGGGTTCATGCTGGATGAGGAGATCACGAAAATCGGAAAATCCTCAAGAGGGAATCATTTATGCGCTGCGCAAATCTCGGTGCATTATTGAAAATCGGGATGTTGTAGGGAAGGAAGGGTTCGTCACAGATGAGCATTTCGGATGAGTCAGTTTGCTTATGACAGCTGCTTGGCAAGGAAGTCCCGGATCTTTCTAGATGAATTCGAGATGAAGTCTACAGTGCTATATGCTAGCCTTTAGGCCTAAGAGCTTGTTGTTTGTTGTGATAATTGCGGCGGTTATGCAGTTCATTTAAAAGCCTCGTCAGCCACCCGTACGAAGCGAATGATGATCAGGGGCCTTATCATATCAAAGGACGTAGTTTGGTTGAAGGGAATAGCAAATTCTGGAAGGCATGTTGAACGCAACGTGCGAGGTGGAAATCTAGGGATAATGCTCAATTGATTGATTTTTGATGCTTTCATTATTTTACACTACCGCTCATGCCAAAGTCTTATCTCGATTTTTGGTCTTGCGACGAAATCGAAAACTGATGATCTCCCTGTAATGCATATGGCGATGATGGACCAGCAAGCATCTCCCTCCGATCCTGTCCCCTTGCTATCTCTGGCCCTGACCTGTATGAGATCTTGCGATCCGTGTTCCCCAATTCTTCCCCTTATCAAACAAATGTTTGCCTACTCCGTCTTCTCGAGCCATTTTCGAGGAACCACTACCATTAACGCCAGTGTAAATGCGAACCGCCGATATTATCCGCCGCCAAACGCCTCTCCCATGATTGATGAACAAACATGCTTTATGATAAGAAACAACGAGTGGGTATCAGTGACCAAAGTGCCACCCCAAGTAACAAGACAGATTCGAATGGCAGAAAGAAAATATTGTACTTTATACATTAGGACATGGGTGTTTGTTCTGATCGTTCATCTTCGCGGTGTTGTTGGTTCATACCATCGCACCTCCTTCGAAGCTGTGACAACCGCGCTCGTGCCTCTTCATGTTGCTTCGGACGCTGAATGCCTTGCCGCATCCCTGGTGCGGGCATTTGAATGGCTTCTCGCCGGTGTGTGAGTGGGAGTGGATTCGTAGGGACGATGGTCTTGAGAAAGCCTTGTTGCAGGTCTGGCAAATGTATCGGTCTTGCGATTGAGGGAACGATGCAGCCGATGATGGCGAGATGTAGTGGTGATGTTGCCATGGGTTGGCGCCGGATGAAGGCGTCAAGGTGACCGAGACAGGCATCAATGGTGGAGGGAATTGCTTTTTCACGGTTAGCAATGAAACGAAACGAGGCTTGATGTAGGGAAACATACCTGAGGAAGTGGTCTCTGATAGTAAAGTCCCGAGATTTGCGATTGAGGCGGGGGTGTTGGCTGCATAGGACTCGGGTAATAAGAGCTCATCGATTGTTGAGGAGAAACAGTGTACTGAGATCCGTTGTATGGGGATTGATTATAAGCCATCGCAGTTGCTGGCATGGAAACTCGTCGTTGCAAAGTGGGAACATGTTGACGCTGAGCGTGAGGTTCCACATTGTTGATGGCTGAGATGGTTGATGGAGTGAAGTAGTATCCTGGTGCTGATGCCACAGAATATCCTGAGTTTGATGCTGTGGAAGGAGATTGACGTCCATCAAAACCCGAGTCGGACTGCATCGGCGGGGTCGGTGGCAGAGCCCCTCGAGAGTTCATCGTTGGCGACGGTCCATATTGCTGATGTCCCGAGTCTGGTCGATACTCGCTCTTCTGTTGCTGTGCTACAAGGAAATTAGTTCGAATGCTAGATCATTCTCGAGGTTGTTTACTGACCTTGCTGTTGTGCTTGAGCTTGTTGCTCCTGAGGACTCAAACCATCGGCCACACCTAATAAGCTC